TCTCTCTCTCTCTCTCTCTCTCTCTCTCTCTCTCTCTCTCTCTCTCTCATACACGCCAACACAGAGTTCCTGAGGGTGGGGACAGTGAAGGGGCTGGCAGCCAGGGAAGTCCAGAGGAAAGGATGGGAGAAAAAGAGGAAAAAAATACAACTCTTCCCTCAACTGATACTCCAATAACAGAGTCAGTGACTGTGTAAGAATTAAGACGTATCTTTCTAAGTGTATAATACACAACTTCTAGAGACGGCTTGGCAGTTAAGAGCACTTGCTGCTCTTGCAACGTACAAGAGTTGGGTGTCCAGCACCCATCTGGGTGGTTTACCACGGTGGGCAACTCCCGTTCCAGCAGGACTCAACTCTTTTCTGATCTCCATGGGCACCCATGCACACATGCAGATACAAACACCAACTGCAGGGGACCCAGTGCCCTCTTCTGGCCTCCTCTGGTACCATGCACACATTCAGTGCACTTACATACATGCAAGAAAAACACTCAAACACAAAATAAGAATAAACGTTAAAAAAAAAACCCTACAACTTGTTTTCCTAAACAAAATATTCCTAAGGAGACATTTTCAAATAAAGTCCTACAAAATAATTTCAGATTTTAAGTTACCTTCCTCATCCACCAGCCATTGGAGGAGGGCTGGGGCCTTGAAGATGACTGATTCGACCCATTCTTCTTCGTGGAGGGTTTCCTGGTGGCCTAATGAAAGAGAAAGCATCTACTATTCGGTAAACCAGCTTTAGTTGGTTCTCTTTTTTAGGGAGCGTCTTGCTATGTAGTCCTGCTTAGCCTGTAATTTGTTATATAGACCAAGCTGGTCTTGAACTTGGATTCTGTCTGCCTCTGCCTCCCAAGAGCTGGGATTAAAGGTGTGCACCTCCACATCTGGCCAATTGGTTCCTTTTATTAAGCACTCAACTACACCCTTTTCAATAAACAGGAAAATGAGCCTGGTAGCATCTAACTGTAATCTCAGCACTTGGGAGGCTGAGGCAGGAAGATTATCAGAGGTTCAAGGCCAGCCTAGGAAATGACCAGGTCAACATTGCTGCAAAGCAAAACCCTATCTAAAAAAACAAAACCAAACAAAGCACACACCCTTGTTAAAAGAGCAACTACCATGTACATTGATGTGATAGGTAATCTTGGCTGCCAACTTGACACACCTGGGAAGATGGAACCTCAACTGAGTAATTACCTCCATCAGATTGGCCCCCAGGGCATGTTTGTGATGCATTTTGATTGCTAATCACTAATAGCCCACTGTAGATGGAGCCACTCCTGAACAGGTGGGCCTGGGCTGCATGGTGAAGGTAGCTAAGCAAGCTGGATGAAGCAAGTCAAAAACCAGCTTTTCTCTCTCCATGGTCTCTGCTTCAGTACCTGTTTCTACTTCCCTGGATGACGGACTGTAACCTGAAAGCTGAAATCAACTTTTCTTGCCCAAGTTGCTTGTGGTCAATGCTTTCTCACAGCAACGGAGAAGCGAACTCTAAATCAGGAATCAAAAATCCTTGACTTTTAATTTACAGTAACTTGTTAATTTTGTGAAATGGGGTTTAATCTTTTAATTTCTACAAGCCTATCTAAAATATCAAAATGAGGACACAAAGGTAAAGACGTATCAGTAAGAAAGGCTGCACATACCCTCTTCCATCATCATATCTGGAATCAGATGAGCTTCCATAGCCTCTTCTTTTTTTCACGTCTTGCTGAAGCAGAGTTTTGAAACTGAAACAAAGCAGAAACAACAGAGGTATCACTTTGACACCATCAAATATATTCCCATGGTCTTCATTATCATCTCTGAGGTGACGAACCCGACTTATTAGCTTACGCCTACACTTCATGCTGGACATACCTGGCCAGACAACATCTAGCATAAGTATGTGTCTAAACAGGATGTGCCATGCATGTTCTATGCCAAAGCCACCTGTCCCCATACTTCTCATCTGCTAGCAACTCCTCAGACAGCATGAAACCAGAGTCCTCACTGGTTTCATTCTTCCGGTTTTCAACATAATCTATTTTTACAGTATCTTACAGTCATCACCCTCCACTAACTTCTTCTGTTTTCACAGTGTCTTACATTCACTATGCCTGCAGTTCCTCTGCCAGCAGCCTACCTGACATCACTTTGGGGAGGAAAGAGATGAGGATATTATAGTCAGAGGCACAAAACTTCTCAGAATTAAAAAAAAAATGCAATTTTCTTTCTTTCCTTTTTTCCCGCCTGTTTTCTTCTTCTTTTCCCCCTAAAGACAAGGTCTTACTATGTGTCTAGTCCTGGCTGGCCTTGAACACTGTCGTCTCTGCCTTCTGAAGGCTGGGATTAAATGTATATGCCACCACACCTAGCCCGATTTTCTAAGTTCTTAGAAGGCGGTGTTAACTCAGGCAAAACAACAGACAATACATATAGTTAGGTGACATTTTTAAGTCATTAAATTTTGCACTGGTCAGTTTAAGTTAGGGACTTTTCTTGTCCCTTCTTGGGTAACTTCCTCCATGACACTCACCCCACTATCCCCTGCAATAGAAAAACATTTACTGATATGCTGGTCTCAGTTAGGGTTACTCTCGCTGCGCTGAAACACTGACCAAAAGCAAATGGGAAGGAAAGGGTTTATTTGGCTTACACTTCTACATCGTACTCCATCACTGAAGGAAATCAGGACAGGAACTGAAGCAGGGCAGGAACCTGGAGGCAGGAGCTGACGCCCAAGCCATGGAGGGGTGCTGCTTACTGGCTTGTCCAGCCTGCTTTCTTATAGAACCTAAGGGTGTCCCCATCCACAGTGGGCTGGGCCCTCCCATATCATTCACTAATTAAGAAAATGCCCTACAGGCCTGCCTATAGCCTGATCTTATGGAGGCACTTTCTCAATTGATAACTTTCAGAAAACTCTAGCTTGTGTCAAGTTGAGATAAAACTAGTCAGTACAGCACCTAAATGAAGGAAGGGACTATTCTCCCACACCTACTCATTACAACTTTCTAATCAAGAGACATTCAAACACAGGACAAGTAAGACTTGTTAGTGACTGACTGGTAATTTTGATAAAAACAGTCTGTAAAAGACAAAAGACAAAAAACAAAGCAAAACAAATCAACCCTCATTTAATAAAGAACTGCTTGGTATGACTGAAAAGTTTAAATTTTTGTCTCTTCTATTCATTAAGAGTTCAGACTCAGGAGTGGTGGCACAGTCCTATAATTCAACATTTAGGAGGCCAAGGCAGGAAGACTACAATGAATTCTGGGCCAACTCTGACTCTGTACGTAATGTAACACTAACCCAGTTAAATAATAGGGCTATTTAGCAGCACTTTGTCTCAAAGCCAAAACAAAAACCCAAGAAAAGAAAAGAAGTCTGACAGCAGAACGGACAGGTCTGGCGATAAGCTGGCATGGTCACCACAAAGGTTCAGGCAGTCAAGCTCTCTAATCCAACATTGTATTTATAATTGTAAGAGGCTTAATCTTACTCTGTAAAGCTATTTAAATAATTGCAATTAGGTACTTCTGCTTCCTTGTGCAGTGGACTGTGGTAACTACAGAGACTCACAGCTGGTCAAAGTGTAGAGAATAAGGCTATGGAATGCTCAGCCATGAGTGAATATCTACATCACACAATCTCCCCAAAAGCTCAGGGAGCAACATGGAAAAGGGGAGGAAAGATTCTAAGAGCAAGAGGTCGGAAGAACTGGGACAAAAGAGCGTCTCCTAGACATGTTGCACTTACGAATTCTTCGAAGCTGTGGGTGCTTATACAGAATCAAGCCAGTCAATGGTGGAGCGGGAACATAAGCCTGTACTCCTAACTGAAGAGCTATGGACAGCTGATGATTGCTAAAGGGAGGGGGAGTCAGTGTTCTTTATGGGTGTGGTCCTAGACAAGCTCCAGGGGATGTGCCCACACCCATCTGGCCAGCAGTAAATATACTTAGTGGGTCATAAAAAAGAGAAGCAAGGGTATGAGGTAGGAGGGGGCATGTGGATGGCATGGGCGGGTGGGGGGAGGGTGGAGAGGAAGAGGGGGTGAATATGATCAAAATACATTGTATACATGTATGAAATTCTCAAAGATAATCATCATAATATAATGTAATTTGATTAGCTTAAGTATAAATGCAACTAACTAAATGCTTTTATACTTACAAAAAAACCACAAATTCTGCTATTCCCCAGAAGAAATCTGTTATAAAAGACAATCTCCATGGGGACTGATTCCGGCTGTCCAATACTTGTCCTATAGGGAGAAATAAATAAATAAATGAATAAATAAATAAACAAACAAATAGAGCGGCACAGTCCACAACTTGGCATTGCATTTAATCAATAAGCTTGGGTTTTAATTTGCCCACTATTTCAAAACAGTCATGAGAGGTCCAGTATGAGCGAAGTAAAATTCTGAGATCTAGAGTTCATTCCTTTGGCAATGTGTCTCTAGCATGACATTTACCATTTTGAGTGCACAGTTGTATAAGCACATCCACAAACATCACCACTGCCTACCTCCAAAACGACTTTGTTTTCCCCACTTGAATTCGACCCAGTCAACTTTGACTTCCCGTTACTTCTTCTCTGTAACCCTTGGCAACCACCAACCTACTTTTTGCCTCTGTAAATTACTGTAGAATCTCACACAAAAGGAATTAAGCCATTTCCATGTTTTGTGATTAGCTTGTTTCACTTAGCATAATTTGGGGTTTAGCTACATGACAGCCTATCGAAGTTCCTTTCCTTTAAAAAGAGTGGTCAGTATTCATATGTATTCATATATATATATATATATATATATATATATATATATATATATATATATTGTCCCTTCACCTGTCAAAGGACATTTCAATCTTCTATTATGAATCATGCCACTATGAGCATGAATGTACAAACATCTGTTTATTCGCGCATTTTGAAGAAAATCAGTGGGTTGGATGAAATGCTTATACTGCTTCTATTTCTTCTTTCCTTGTGAGACAGAGCCCAGCTAGGCAGCCCTGGCTAGCCGTGAACTCAGAGAGGTGCCTGCCTGCCTCCAGAGTGAGGGACGAAAGGTGTGGCAGCACCCGTTTTCTTAAAGGAGTTCAGAGAATCGCCCCCCCCCCAAGTCTCTCACCTGCACAAAAGGTTATTAGATATACAGACCTTCAGAACCAGTCATTGTGATAAAATTCTTATACAAAGAGTTTATATGGTCCAAGCACTGAAAAGAAGCTAACTTGTTCTTTATTAAAATACCCAGTATTTTCTGTAACGCTGTGCTCTTGGTCAAATGATAGACTCTGCAGTAACCACCTGTCCTCTCCATGATCTGAAGGGCTTTGCAGTTCCCCTCCATCCCTCTCTCAGGGTTATCTTTCTTTCTTTAACCAGCTCACTTCCAGTTATTCCCTTGGATTTAATCTCTCACGAAGCAGAGAAGAAGAGGCTGACAGTCAATGGGTGAGTGACGAACTCTGCTGCGTTGGCTTCTGAGGAAAATCATCCCCGAGCTACCCAGCATACTGGATTGGGATAAAGGTGTCATCTGGAGGTAAGAACCATCTATGAAGTACTGATAAGTTACGGTCCTAAGACGATGGATCCAATTGTAGCCTATCAATTATCCCTTTGTGATTCTAAAGAACTAACTACCTATCCACCATTCTACATGGCTCTTTGCACTCTCTTTCCTAAATTCTAAAGGCAGAACCTTTACAACTCCGTGTCCCCAGAGGGTAATAATATGCTTGAATAAAGCTACGAAAGTTGTTAAGTAAAGTCCTAACATGACACACATTACAACACTCTACATACTCTACAATAATTAAACTTTATGTAATTATTTAATACTGCATGAAGCTAGTAACCTCAACCACAAGTAATAAATTAAAATCTGTAAGCACCCAAAACTAAGCTGCAACGTTGATGCTCCCTTTAAACCCCATCACAGCACCTATCCCAAAGCTTTGCCATCTGGAGGTGGAATTCTGAAAAGCCCAAAATTCAAAGTGCTCCCAGCCAAAAGACGTTTCCCCGATACCTTCATCTCTGGAGATACACAGATGAATCAAATACAACCACACCTACTTCCAGGGACGCAAGATGGGCTTCTAGGATTGCACCAAGGATTTTCACCTACGTCACACAGGTTCTGGCACTGATGTGGCTCAGTCAGGCAGCACCTCTTCTAAGTTTCCTTGTGAACTGTCTTTCTCAGATTTCCTATTTGACAGACTTGCTCCCCCACGTTCTTTCAAACTGGGGCAAAATCTTGGGCTTGGAACTAGCTACACTCAAGTTCCAAGGGGAGGAAACCTACCAGAACTTTTGTTTTGCCTGGCATGGTAGTACGGTCCTTTAATCCCAGCACTCGGAAGACAGGGAGAGGCAGGAGGATCTCTATGAATTAGCAGCCAGCCTGATGTACACAGTGAGTCCCAGGGCAGACACAACTACAAAGTGAGACCCTGTTTCAAAAAATGTTCGTGTTCGTGCTGGGTTCTGCCTTGCTGTTGTTATTTTACACATTACAGAGGCAGTATTACCCATTACTATCAGGGCGGCTCCTGCACATCGGCGCCCAGTGGCCAGATGGGCAAGAGGTCATACTGGAGCCAGCCTGAGTTTGAATTCGAGCGAAGTCATATGCTGCCTGCCTTTGTGATCAGGAACGAGCCATGCAATCTATCTGCGTCTCGGTCTGCATCCGGAGAACCGGGGTAGGGAATCACCAGCCGAACAGGACAGTGAAAAGATGACGGAGACGGTGGGCAGGGGCTGCGGGGACCGTGGCCCAACACAAAAGCGCTCGGCGCGCACTGTCACTGCCGGGAGAGGCTACCCGCGCCCGCGGAGATCACACTCGCAAACCCCAAGTCGGAATTCGCTGTCAGGAGAGGCCTCGGTGGAGGCCAGCGCGGCTCCGGGGTCGGGGGCCTGGGATGCGCCTCGGGTGCCGCCGCCTTCGCTTGCGACTCCTCCCGGCCCTGGGGAGCGGATGTCGGGGAGGAGGCCGCCCTAAGCTCCGACCCGGCGAGCGAGGGCCGAAGGAGCACAGGGTAAGGGCCCTCACTCACCGTTCGAGATGTAAACCATCTTCCCTCCGGCCGCCCGCTCCCAGACGACTGGGCAGACCGGCCCCCTGCAGCCTCCGTAGCTCGTCTCCCGCCCCGCCCCACGTCACCGGCCGCTAACAGAAGACCGGAGAGAGGTGGGTGGCGCTCATTGGCTGCTGGGAGACAAGTCCCGCCTCCCGCACGTCACCGGCCGCTAACAGAAGACCCGAGAGAGCTGGGTGGAGCTCATTGGCTGCTGGGAGACAAGTCCCGCCTCCCGCACGTCACCGGCCGCTAACAGAAGACCGGAGAGAGGTGGGTGGCGCTCATTGGCTGCTGGGAGACAAGTCCCGCCCCCACGTCCCGCCCCGTCACGGAAGTAACTTCCGCTGGCGTGGAGGCTGTTCCCGGCAGGGGGCCGGATATGACGTGTAGGAGCCGCTTTCTTTGAATGGCTTTTTTTTTTTCTTCCTAACTTGTTTCCGGTTTGATTGGTGGCGTCTTTGATGCCACGGCCCCACCGGCCGGAAGTCGCTTTCTGGTTGGTTGGTGAGCGCGGGTTTCGGGCGAGCAGGGCTGTCTGTCCGTCGGGTGGGAAGTTCGCTGGCGGCGGCGCGTCCCTTAGCTGTGCAGATGTCTCTGTTTCCGGGCGTGGAAGGGCTGACAGGCCCCGAGGTGGTGGCGCATCAGTGTTCCCGCCCTGCGGTCACAGGACGAGGCTTTTAAAACAGGGTCTCACGCTGTAGTCCTGGCCTGAAGCTCACCAAGATCAGCCTGCCTCTCTACCTCTGCCTCCCGAGTGTAGGAATTAAAGGCGTGCCCCGCCACACCCGGCTTTTTTTTATTTTTTATTTTTTTGAGATGGTATCTATGTAGTCCAGGCTGCCCTGGAACTCCCTTTGTAGACCAGGCCTTTAATCCCAGTGCTCGTGAGACAGAGGCAGGTGGGATCTTCATTAGTTCAAGAGGTGGCATTGCTGTTTTGCTTTTGTTTTTTTCGGGACAAGATTTCTCTGTGTAGCCCAGCAGTCCTAGAACTTGCTCTGTAGGCCAGGCTGGCCTCGAACTCAGTCTGCCTCAGAAAGTAAACACCCCCCCCCCCCCCGCCCAGCTAAGAAGTGGGGTTTATTAATAGCTCTAATGAGGCAGCTAGGAAAAAGGGTATCAACTGCAGAGTAACAGTTTCCTCTGCTTCCCAGCATGGCAGGAGTGACATATGCATTAGAAGGCGGGTCTTGGGCATTCAGTAAACCTGAGCGGTACTCCTCGCCGCTCCAGCTCTTAGACTATACTTCTATAAGCATGCCAGTCTGGTTCAACAGACCTTTGTACCTGGCTGTTCTTTCTACGGTAGAGAACTAATGTCCTCCCTGCCCCTTGCTGTATTTTGTTTTTCTGTTTAGTTCTCAAACTCCATGTTGTTTGTGGAAGAACCCTATCCCCTTCCTTAAAAGGAAAAAAGTAAGTTTTGGAACCAATTAGGCTTGACCAACGTTAGTTAAGAAAGCATTGAAAACTGAGCAGGGTAGTACACGCTTTTAGTCCCAGTGCTCAGGAAGCCAAGGCAGGTCAGTCCCTCTGAGTTGAGCCTGGTCCACAGAGTGAGACCCATCTAAAGCAAAGGTATGTTAAGTGAGGTGTGGTGGCATATGCCTGTACATGAGTACAGTCTGTGCTCCATAGTGACAGCCTGTCTGGGCAAACAAAACAGTATATTCTAATAACTAGAACCGACAACGATTTTTAAAGACATGTTTTGAGAGGAAGCATCCCCGCCTCTCCCAAACCTTGTATAATAGGACAGGACAATCAATATCCTTCACTTCATTTGAGACTGTTGTAGTCAAATGTTAGAGCATCATTTTTGCTAAAATACTGAAGAGAGGAGGTTATTTTTCCTCCGTGGTGTGTGTGTGTGTGTGTGTGTGTGTGTGTGTGTGTGTGTGTG